TCAACACCCATGTAATATATATATATATATATATATATATATATATATATATATATATATATATATATATATTGCTTACATGGATAGCAGTATATTGTGTTGTAGATGTTGATTAAGGTTGTTTTATATATATTTCACAACCCTGAAGAAGCAATAAAGTAGATTGCGAAAGCTTGGTAAAGAGAAAAGAGTACCTTGTATCTCAGAGATGTACTAGAAGAAGCCAGATTTTTCACTTAAGAACCAATAGAACCAATCTTCTCTCGCAATCTCTGTTTAAACTTTCATGTTCAATTGCAAACCAGGTATCTAGCTGGTGTGAGTTTACACTTGTTTCCATCATTAATGTAAATTTAAATCTGAACCGTTGAGGTATCGTGATTTCTTTCCGGTTTGAGTTCTCAGTTTGAGTTTTGTTTTCTTGTTTAGTTATTAGTCATTGTTCTCAGATTTAGTAAATTAACTGAATATTTAGATATTGGTATCCTACATTTAGATTACTTATCTTATTTGAGAATACTTCTTTTAGTATTATTAATTTTCAATATTATGTATTTAGAATATTATTGGTATATTATTCACTTAACTTGATATTTAATTTATTTATTATGTTCTTTCCTGTATTTGAGTAAATAGCTTTAGAGAATAATTCTTTATTATTATGTATATATGTGTTATTGAATAAAAACCACTTTATTGTTGTAATATTAATTTTAGTTTTAGTATCACTTGATTATATTTTTTGCTGGAAAATTGTTTCGGGGTGTTACTCCATTTTCAAAAGCTAAAATGGATTCAGCTTCTGAAATGGAGTTATCAAATCAAACAATGTTTCAGCAAGATATTAAAGAACATTCAATCGAATTCAATTATTTGTTTCTTTATTTTTCACACTTTTAACTGTTATAAAAATGGGGAGCTGTAATATTGGGTAAAAAAATTATTGCAGTGTGTACTTAGGACCGAGTTGTTGAAATAAGGTGAAAGTACACAATTTAGAAATTTACCATTGTTCTAGAATAGCGGTTCTCAACGTCTTAGTAATGCGGACCAGTTGACACAATCTTTGTTTCAATTTGTACCTCTAATTTTTTGAGGTTATATATTATATGTGTTGTATTTATGTTGCCCATAATTTTTATGGGTTACGTTGCACTGAGAAAATAATTATTTTCGACTCTTTTCATAAAAGCACTCCCTAAATGAAATTAACATAATAAAATCAATGTTTTTTAATATTGTTATGACTTCTCTTTAAATTTCGAACGTTATAGCCACTGATCTAGAAGATCAATAGTACTCTTTCATTTCAACCTAAACTCCAGCAATATTTATCAACTCTCTTCTACTTCTTGAGAAATGCGATATAAAATGCATTTCATCCTTCGTAAGAGGACTGAAAAAAAACTGTTTTGGAAGACTGATTTCAGTGTTCATAAACCGAGTAATCGTCGTGTATCTGCAACATACAGCACCCACAGTGGATATATTGAAATCTTTTCAATCGCTTTGTAAATTCAGGCCACACAATAATGTATTTATGTATTTTATTTGTAGTGGAGCAAGTCCCTTGTGGAAAGGAAATGGATTACATTTGTTAAATTGAAGTTTCACCCAAAATAAACTTCCATGCCTATTTTATAATTCTAAATTCACATTCTACGAAATTGCGATAATCAATAAATCTGACTGATTCACTTCCTTTTAAGACATTGCAGGTTTGGAGTTTAAGAAAATATTTATTACTTCGTCAAAACTGTTAACGTCAGCTTTGGAGAATGTGTTGAAAAAAACTAGCTTGCTATGGATCTGGATCAAAAATCTCTGATTTACGGCTGAAAAAGAACTGCTAAGCGCAGACATCGATATTAAAACACGATATAAATTGAAAATCAAATGTTAAAAAGGATCAAATCTTTTTTATTTAGTGGACCTACTCATTATGTTCTCGGACTTCCATTGCCTATAGATTTAATTTGAAATTCTGAAACAAACTATGATTAATTGAAAATTAAAATGGAGAAATTAAACGAATTAAACAGAAAAAGGTTGATAACCAATAAATCTCCTGAGGGCTGAAGCATAAATATGAATCAAACAAAATAAAATAAATTAAATTGAAATAATTCTTACCTCCGATGAAGAGACGGATGATCAACAGAAAACTGATCCTTATAAAATAAAACACAACTATTTTTAAAATATATATATATATATATATATATATATATATATATATATATATATTTATTTCTCTAAGTACCTAATACAGTATCCTAAAGTATAATTCTTTTCAGTACCTACCTAACTATAGGGTTTTACCTGAAGTTATTAATTTTTATAATCATATTGAAGCAGGTTGTTTTTGGCTAAATTATTGTAGTTATTACAGAGGTTCGTCGAACTTATGAAATAAAATACAACTATTCTTCGTATGGAATTAAGGGATTATTGATGACAATAAAGTATTTATGGTGATGTTTATGATGATAAATTTCTTAGAATTGTAGGTAATTTTTGTGTCTTTATTTATTATATTGAAATGTGATGAATTGTTTTATGTTTGCTTTTTATTATATTGTTTGAGTTTTAGATGTTTTGTCTTACTCAAAGTATTGGTTGTAGAGTAGTAGAATTTTTCTGTGTGTTTTATAATTGATGATTTTATTGTTTCTGAGTTTGTGAAAGAGTGAAGCTCTGTGATTTTGGTTTTACGGGTTTTTTTTGCAATTACTCGGAGAATTTTGTTTTGAAATGACTGCAGTTTTTGTAATTCGTTTAATTTGTTTTACTCCAAATGGGGCTCGCATAAGTCAGGACTGGTTTGATACCTTGATAGTATAAGATTAACATAGATTTCCGAGAAACGTGACTTTTTTTGGAAATGAGGTAAAAAGTTTTATTCATGATAATATTCGCCCTATTAAGTGGTTTGTTGATGTGGGAAGTGAAAGTTAATCTTTCATCAAGAGTAAGACCTAAGTATTCAATTTCATTATGTATAGGAATTATTTCGTTAAATAAAATTACATTCTTATTAGGTACTTTTTTATTTGATGTAAATTGTATGAGTGTAGTTTTATTGGCATTAATTTTTATTCCCAATTTTCATAATATTCTTCAAGGAGTGCTATATCATTTTGAATAGTATCTTTGCCAAATTTGGTGACCAAGATTCAGATATAATAGATGTATCATCCGCAAAGATTCTGAATTTGGTTTTGTGTGTTTTAGGTATGTCATTTATGTAGAAATTAAATAATAACGCCGAAAGTATTCCGCCTTGCGGGCCCCCCGCACGTATTTTTTGTTTTTTTGAAAGAACCTTACCAACTTTTACCTGGTAAGTTCGGTTTGCTAGGTAAAATTTTATTAATTCAATTATGTAGATTTGAATGTTGTTCTGTATAAGTTTATATGTGAGTCCGCGGTGCCAGACGGTATAAAAGGCTTTCTCGATATCTGAACTTAACACTGCTGTGATTTTGTTTTTATTAAAATTATTTTTGATTTGATTAGTCATATTTGCAAGTTGTAAAATAGTACTGTGGTTGTCCCTAAAGCCGTACTGGTCGTCTATTAGGATGTTGTGTGATTTTTCGTGTTTTTTCAGTCTTGTGAGAATGATTTTTTCTAGAACTCTCGACATCATTGGCAGTAAACTAATTGTCTTGTAGTTTTCTGCGAAGATTGGATCTTTATTAAGTTTCTTGAATGATAGGACTATACCATTTTTCCAAGAATTGGGAAAGTATTGCATTTTGATACATGCTTGAGCATTTTATTATTTATTTTATCGAAACCTGGCGCTTTTTTGTTGTTTGATTTTCGAATTATATTATTCACTACGTGTGGTGTTGTGAGATATTCTGTTTCATTTGGTGTGTTTTGATATTTTAGTTGATTGACTGTTCTTTTAACTATATTTTTAGTGTGTTTGTCTGACATGCGTTTGGTTGACTGATGTATTTCCTGATGTGTGTCAGCTTTTAGATCGTTATCAAATAAGAGGCCACTGATCCTTCGAGATAGAGAGTGCCTTTACATACCGCGTTGGTTCTTGATGTCCGCGATTGTTTGACACGTGACTCATGCAGGTCAGGATTGGTCGCCAGGTGTTGGATACTTCAACACTTGGATTAGAGAATATGTCTTTCTTCTGATGGATGAACACGATTTCCTTGAACTTCCGTTTGCTCCAATACTTTTCTCGATGAACAATCCTAGCTTCGTCCCAGCGAATATTGTGGTGTTTTGATGAAGTCTCATTTAAATGTTTCTGCTCTTCAGGTGTGAAGTTTATTTTCATTGTTCCTCGAGACGTCGAGAGGTCCCCTTGTGTCTCCTATGTATGCACCTCCACATTCGCAAGGTACTAGATATATAAAGTTCTTTCTTTCAGGAGTTATACTGGTCTGGTCTTGGTTAGGATGCTTCTTATGGTAATACCTGATTTGGAAGCTGTCCTGATTTTAAAATGTTCGGCAATCTGCCTTATTTTTTCAGATATTCTCTTTACGTAGGGTATTGTAATCATTTGCTTGGTTGTGTTCTCCTCCACTGTTGTTCTATCCTGCCTACATTCCTCAATTGTTTGTTCTATCAGCCTTTTACCATTCTGTGTCAGGTCCTTTTTGATTTTCAAAACTTCTTCTTCCATTAGTTCGGCTTGCTACAGATTGATGGGGCTCTATTGTAGAGCGTCCTTATTATTCCTCTTTTAGTACTCCTGGAGTGTTTCGAGTTGATAATGAGTTATTGGCCTGCGTAGGTTCTTGTAGACTGAGCTAGTAATTCTGTTCCTGTTGTGTGGCAACGAAACATCTAGAAAAAGTAATCTGGGATGTCTCTTCTTCTTATCGTGAATTTGATGTTGGCCAGAGAGCCATTGATATGTTGAAAAAAATTATGTGGACCTCTAGTTTGACGCCGGTTCCGAACTGTCAATGGGCTGGTAATCAATGTACGCCATTTTTCAACGATTTTCATCATTAAACTACCGTCATCACCGGGGCTCGAACCCGAATTCTACCACAACATAGTCGTGTGATATCCCGACTAAGCCACGAAGGCCAGCAATAGAATCAAGGATGAAACTAATCATGAATAAACTGAAATAATTGGCAACATACAAGGGTAGAGTATTAAAGATACCATCAACATGAAAATATGAATCAATTTATATGTATTTGGCAAGTGGAAGGAAAATTACATTTATCGAGAGGTAAGTTGAAATTGACATGAGAATGTAGGTGATGTTCAAAAATATCGACTTAATAAAATTTCATATTATGGGAGACTGGAGATGGTTGACAAATTTGTTACTTAAGCTATACTTTCACTATTTTTTCAATACACAGGAGTCTTCAGGGTAGAGTCGGCGCTTTTCCAAGCCTCGGATCACTTTCTAATATTTGCTTGAGATTTGCTACAAGAGGATTTCATGTTTTGTATGAAATTTGGTATTTCTTTGATATATGGCCTAGCAAGCTCTTCCCAGGATGTCTTTAGTACATCAACCCTCCCACTTCTTCTTTTGTATGTCTTCATTTTCTGTAAAAATACAGTTGTAATTTTGTATGTGCAAAAGGATCGAAATACTGTTCTTAGAATAAATATACATTAATTATTAGTCTACCTGATCGCTTAATGAGCTTGATATAATGCTCATTTTGAGTGGGTTTCTTGTATAATTAATCAACCTGTCCCGAAAAGAGTGAACCAATACCTGACGCCATTTTGGATTTCAACCTTGTTGCTTATGGAACACAGACCCTAAAATGAAAACAATATATTTTTCAAAACAACACTGTCATTCTTACATTTTAATAATAATTATTATAATAATAATAGCATTAATAATAATAATAATAATAATAATAATAATACCTTTATTAGCAAAAGCTACTCAATGCAATAATATTCTTTACAACCACTATCTACTCACAATTTAAACTATATTACCGAAAATATATGAAACTAATAGTTTCCTAAAAGTTTTATAATTTGTACAATATTTCAACTCTGGAGGCAATCCGGTAAATAACTTAAAACCTTGGCTAAACGTGGACTTATTCATTAATGTTGTATGGAACTTATTCAAATAAAAATTGTTTCGATGCCGCGTTTCATGATTATGCACATCACAATTAGGTTTTCGTTTAAATACAGGGGCAGCATATCATTTTTAATTTTATATACAACATCTAAGGTTTTATAAATAATACGTTGATTCACACTCATTAGTCTACAAACATCAAGCATGTTCTTGACAGAGGGTCGCCTATTACACTTGAGAACAATTCTCATGCCTCTATTTTGAATTTTTCAATATTTCATTTCATGAACACGATCCAAAGAGTTATTTTCAAGTTTAAGTTTTCAATATCATTGTTACTCAATTTATATTCTGATGCTACTAACATGTATTTTGATTTATTAATATTCACTTTAAGATTATTGTCACAGAGCCAAATATATAGTCTGTTCAAATCCTGATTAACTTGCCTCATAAAAAAACACTGTTTCAAACAGATACCCAGGCACAATAACATAACACTACAAACATTAAACACTAAAACAATTACAAAAGAAAAATTTTAACAGGAACTATTTTAACTCAAGAAAGCCGTATTATTGCGAAAGAAAATTTAACACGAGTTACCTGGTCAAGCAAGTCATCTTCAATCACGATTGGTTGAAAGAAAACCCGTTAATACCTCGTTAACGAACGAGTTAATGCTCTTAATCTATTTACCCTTATAGTCAACGATTTCCGGTCTCCCCCACATGCTAACTGTTATAAGCATTTATCTGAGTTATACAGGGCGCGCCAGAGAAACTTACTTATTTGAAAGGTCAATAAAAACAAAAGTACTTCAATTATTGTTTCAAATTTTTTTTTATTTGAGAATACAATATCCAAATTTTTTTTTCATGCAGTCTAGAAAGTGACATCAGTTAAATGGCGACCCTCATTGCGCATATACTGATGAAGTCGATTTTTGAAATTCGTAACCACTATTTGCAGCATATCAATCGGTGTGTTGGCAATGGCGTCGCGAATGTTATTCTTGAGGTGTGCTATGGTTTGTGGTCGATCGACATAAACCAGAGACGTGGAAGTGAGCCTCGTCACTGAAAAAAACGACCTCGTCTTCAGGCGGGTTTCAATCAGCATTTCACATGCATTTTGACGAGCAACAAAATCACGTTCAGTTAATTCTTGCATAACAGCCAATTTATGGGGAGAAATTGAAGGTCTTCATGGAGAATTCTTCGAAATCTCGTCGAAGTCGTGTCAGAAATTCCCATAGCAGCTGCGTGTTTGCGAGCCGAATGCCGGGGAGAACGCACTACTGAATGCCTCACTCTTTTGATATTTTCCGGAGTTCTGATTGTCCGTTGAAGTCGATTTCTGGGTTTAGCGACACTACACACTCCCGAAATGAGTTAACCCACGACAGAATCTTTTGGAAAACGGATAAACGATCGTTAGAAAAGAAGCTATCGACTGCGAAGGCCCACTGCTCTCTAGAACAGAGCATGATGGGAACTGACTGGAGGGAGAAACAAACTTGGGAACTTCCCCTCCAGGCGCTCCCTCTCGCCCCTCTCCCCCAAATTAACCACGCGGGAAGTTTTCCAAATAAGTAAGTTTCTCTGGCGCACCTTGTATTAGTTTATCTGAGTTATTGCTGTTCCGTCAACCATTGTGTACGGGCCATACGAGACCCATAATCTTTCAGAAATATTGATTTAGTTTCCTTCAAAATTCCAGGTGATTATAGATAATTTGTTTGTTCTACTTATAATGTAGTTTTTTTAGAGGCTACTTGAAATTGAAATGGCGATCGAGGTAAGAAGAATTCAAAAATATTTATTGAGCAATAGTTATTACAAAAATCTATTTACAATCAAAACTCATTATTAACAATTATTTGTTCAAAACGAACTCAGCTAATTTACGCTTGAATAGGTTAAGGTCACTAATTGTTTTTATGGATCTAGGTAATTTTTTCATTGTATATATTCGCTTATAATCTCTTTTTCGTTTTGTTTTTTTGTTCATTTCTTCTTATTTATTATTATTTGTGTACACTTTGTTATGTTTTCTCTGTAATTAATATATATGTAATTGTATATCTGTTGGGAATAAATAAATAATTATTATTAAATGCATTGAATCCTTCATAAAATATACTATTTCTAGATTTGAAAATATTTCATGAACTTGCATGTGAAAACATTTTAAGTGTGCACATCACTGACACATATTACATTTTTTATTACTCTGCGAAATTATTATGTGGGAAAAATTTGTTTTCAATTTTAATTATGAGAATGTATGTAGCATAAAGTATTCTATGTTTAACTGAAATTTAGTTCTAGGCAATTTAACATGGTTTCGATTGGAGTATATTACATTTCAAACTTTTTCGCTCTATTCTGCAATTTTTGTAGCTGATGAGTTTCTTCTTTGCTCAATGCTAATGACACAATGGAACAATATTCAAAGTATTTCTTGTCTTACATAAGGCCCAAATATTTAACAACTTTTGGCTTTTCAATGTTCTAGTTCTCAATTTTAATAGTTATATTTTCTTTACTGTTTTGCTTTCAAAATTTTACTTTTATCCTAAACTATAAATTTAGACTTTTTCACATTCGGCGATGAAATGTTATCGCTTAGCCATTCATGTACTGCTGCTAATTCTCTATTGATCTATTCTGTCATAGTCTGGATTTTGTTACCACTAATGTAAAGCATTGTATCGTCTGCAAATAATATAGAAACTCTTCTAACATGAAAAGCAATATCATTTATGTATAAGGAGAATAGCAGTGGACCTAAGACTTTCCTGAGATGTAAAGATGATGTACAGAAATATTAACATCACAAAATTTCATATACTGGCTATCATTGCTGAAATCTAATAACATTTTTTTCCAGATGGGACTGATATCCATGAAATCACGAAAATTGCGAATTATTACGAAGCAGTGGCTATATTAATAGGACACCACAATGTGAGATCCATATTACCCAAGAAATATTCATTACGTTTCCTTTAAAATTCCAGGTAATTATAGATTATTCGTTTTTTCTACCTATAACGCAAAAGTTTTGAGTGATTGATTGAAATTGAATTAGGATGTAGTCGATGTTCAAAAATATTGACATAATTTTATATGCTTATAACCATTACTGAAGCCATGTGAGAATTTTTTCTGATTGTAGCTTCTCACTCATTCTGATGAAGTTTTAACCGAACTGCTATAAACAGAATGCATGTACAGAAACATATAATCAATCTGTCATATAACCCGCTGAATTTGACACTATCCAAATCGACAACACTTATTCGACATACACCGAGGCCCTAATAATGGGCGTGTTAGTTCCCAAATCCCTGGGGTTAACCATATAGGTGAATACACCCACTGCTTTAATTGACCCCCTGTTGGGAACAGTAGAGACACATATTTAATGAAAGACTGAATCATGGTGTTGAACCCTCATGCTCAGTTGGAATTTTACATACCTATCAAGAGCAGTTCCAAAATTACATCATACAGTAAAAATAAATTAATTCAGTTAGGTATTGATGCTTTAAAATTTTGTCCAATTCTCAGAATTTGATTCATTCAGAAAAATAAATAATATTTATAACAGTCATAATCATACCCAGTATAACCAAAAACTAATTCGAATTTCTATATATATATTTATATATCTGAAGAAATCTAACATAAGAAAATTAAATCTATGGTTATCTTGCCTATGGTATCCTATAGACATCACAAACTTCAAGTTTCACTTCTTCACTTCGCCAGTTCTGCCAAAATATTCTTTTGAATAGTTCGAAAAAAATTATCGGAAGGAAATTATACTTTTAATATTGAATTTACAAGTGCGATGATATGAATACTATGATAACTATACAATTCATTTTCTTATAGTAGATCTCTTCATGTTTTCAGTAGCCCATGATGGCAAGCTCTAGAAAGGCATAACCGAGCGTTTCTACTATCGCAACCTAGATGGCATTAGTTCATCAAATAAGATGAAA